CTTGACTAAAGGAACCCACATCACCTTAGTTTCGTTCAAACTTAATTTATAAAATTCCTTGTTTGGGATGTGATCGATGTTATGTTGGTATGACGAAGCAATACTTAAAAAATGGCCTATAACAGGTACAAAGCAGAGAATACGGTCTTAAGCCAGCACTACTTCTGACCACCAATTTGACTTCAATAATATTTTTGTACTGAATCGAGAAAACAATTATTATAAACGAGGGATAAGTGGAATGATACATATAGCCCTGAATAGCACAATAAACTCGAGATTAGACATACAGGGACTTAACATACAATACAATAATTTAATTAATATGTATAAGGCGAGCGCAATACAGAAACCTCACGGTATTTAATATAAAACGGGAAGAAAGAAATAGAGAAGAACAAACAAAATTAAAAATGCCATCGTGGGTACCTAGATTAACTTTTGGTCTAATGCGTTTCATAAATTCACAAAGCGGAGGGAGGAAAAAAGTATAACAATATTATTAAAATGTTCTTGGACTAGCTCCAGTCATACATGTGTAAGTGTAAAAACATATGGTCCTGTTTTATTTTTATTCTAATTGTGAGTTTTCCGTTTCCTCCATGTATTATGTGTTTTACGATGTGTTTACTTGATCATTTACAATGGGATCCTATTAATGAGAAATAGGTATGTATACTTAGTTTAGGAATTGTAGCGGCCAGACCAAGTCGCAATTGCACAGCACTATGATGACCTGGAGTACATGACACGTAAATTGATAGAGGAATACGAGAAATGAGCTGAGGTTTGGAAATAAATTTAACTTAAACAAATCATATGCCTAAAGGACGTAAACAACGAACTCTGGAATTGAATAACGGACAAGAAATAGAACAATGCACCTACTGAATATGAATATCTCGCATGAGGGAACACTAGACGAGGCAATCAAAGATCGGAATATACAAGCATACAAGGGCGCAAATGGGCACGGATACGGCGGATGGCGTGACCGCTGTTTTGCTCAAGGATTGGCCTAGAAAAATACCACAAGCGATGCCTAAAAAGGATCCTATGGATTAAATTGCAAGACCGACGAACGAACATTAATGTTCTAGAGGAGGCCAAAAAAATAGCATTGAAGTCCTAATCATTATTCAACTTCTCTGTACAGGTAACCGCATGCCCGAAACAGGTCTTCCACGATAGATTCTCTACAATCAACTCAAAGAGGGAAATCGAAGATGTTCTAGAGGAAAATATGGCAAAGTGCCATATCGATACCAGCAACTAGGAGATGACGGCAAATGATAGGCCTTCATCATGGCGTCGAGTAGTCCATGACCGAACACAAACTTTTGAAAAACAGCGACGCAGACACGAAACCGAAAAGAGGTCACAGGAAGGAGTGAGAGAACAGAGCCACAGACAATGCTGCCAGAGACTGGGTGTGCCAAGACTGTGCAGCTCTAGAATTGGTTTATATAGCCATCAAAAAACGCACAATCGACGACAGCGATAATAGAAGATAATCATACTTTGTATCGAGTGATCGCCTAGGCTTTTCTCAGAGGGTAAAGGCGCGTATTCATACAGCGAACGAAGGCAAAGGAATTCGCTCGAATTCATCCGAATTTAAAAAAAATAAATAAATAAAATAAATAATGCCTTTATTTTGTAATTCTTACAATAATTTTTGACAAATTAAATACAGGTGGCGATATTCGTATAATATACGCTCTTCCATATAACGACCCGCTCTTCCATATAACCACCACATAATTTATTCGCCATTTGCAAAAAAATTGTCATTGTGTCCACATACAGACGAAAACATGCGTTCACATTCATTCGTTTATTTTCGCGGATATATTTTTTTTGTTTCCAATATTAAAGCCTCGATTAAAGCTTAATAAAAAAAAGAGAAAGGTTAATGGTTACTTTGAAATACCTCTCTACAGGAGCGGCACTCTGTAACAAAATTTCGATAGAGATTCTCTTCGCTTCGCTATTTCGTACTCTGTAACTAGGTTCGGTCGATCCCGCGGCTACCCGAATATTACCGAATGGGCGATAGAGAAGAGAACGATAGCGACACCTCGAGAGGTCTTTCTATCCAAGAGACATATCGTTCGGTCTCATTCTACTCCATACCTAAGCTTTTTTTTATCTCCGTCTGATGAGAAAAGGGGTTATGTTGTTCATTTTTATTATTTATTTTTAGTGTGGGGTTGTACGGGATACGAGGCCTATTTTATCAAATCATTTTACACCGTCTTGCATTATTATCATCAGTTAGATAACATTGTACTGAAACGCACTTGTGCAGAGAGATAGATAGGAGTAGGGGATTTCGCTGAAAAAAATGTTTCAGAAAATGTCGTCATAAACAAGGAAAATATATGATTATACACCGTCTTGCATTTATTTATTGAGTTAATTTGTACACAAACAAAATTGGATTAACACATGCAAGACGTTTTCATGGGGGTTTTGGGGCTGTAATATAAGATGGAAATTGTCAATTTTTGAGAGGGGTGAAAAATCATTTTACACCACTCCATTTTTGATTTAGATTAAAGCTTGAATGTAGAATAGCTACTGGATACTGATACAAGACGTCCTGTGGCGGGATAACGGGCTGCAAGACGGATGACAATGCGTTGTCTCATGAGGGAGTGAAACATTATTTTACACCACTCCATGCTTATGTCCGCCGGAAGAATATATGTTAAGAAATGGTAATACATCAGTCCAAGACGTTTTTTCGACGAAAAAAGTTAATAAATCCGTTTTCGTTTTTTATCTGAGTTATTTACTGAACCGTTGACTGTTCATTCTTTTCTAAATCATACAGATGGAAAAGGACAGTTGACATAGCAGCTCAACAGGGGAGTCTGCTGAATACAGGAATTATAATTTCGGTTTACAATTCCAGACAGATAATTTGTTGTGTCATTTTTTTGCTGCTTTAAAATCAAATTTCTCAAATTTAGCTAATAGTTACAATCCGTTATGTGTTATGGCATATCCACACCTGCTTCATAAGACAGCACATTGACCTCCGTCTTGCAGCCCGTTATCCCTCCACAGGACGTCTTGCATCAGTATCCAGTGGCTATTCTACATTGAAGCTTTAATCTAAATCAACAATGAAGTGGTGTAAAATGATATTTCACCCCTCTGAAAAATTGATAATTTCTATCTAATATTACAACCCTAAAACCTCCATGAAAACGTATTGCATGTGTTAATCCAATTTTATTTGTGTACAAATTAACTCAATAAATAAATGCAAGACGGTGTATAATTATATATTTTCCTTGTTTATGACAACATTTTCTGAAATATTTTTTTCATCGAAATCCCCCACTCCCATCTATTTTCCTGCAAAAGTGCGTTTCAGCATGATGTTATCTAACTGATGATAACAATGCAAGACGGTGTAAAATGATTTGATGAAATAGGCCTCGTATCCCGTACTACTATGATTACAGCAAAGATATTAATAAGAATAATTAACAACCCTTTAAGTAGGTACCGCCATTATATTACTTTATTACATAGGACATAAATATATACCGGGTGTCCCACCGAAAACTGTCAATGGCCTATATCTTGAAAACGGTAATCGATAAAAAAAAAATGAAAAAGCTGTTTGGAGGGTTGGAAGGGAGAACCAAAACAAGGCACTTTTCAGGTCTCCCTGAATCACCCCTCCGGCCGTAGCTACCCTAACCTTAAAATCTAAAATGGCACTATGGGTCATGTGATACCTTGTTTTGAAGGTCTTTTAATTCTCTTAATGGATCTCCAAAAAAAATTATCCAGATTTGAATGTGACTCTCATTTTGATGAAAACCTCATTTGATCGGGTGGAACAGGTTAATGTGATTTAAAATCGATTTTATAGAAATTGAATAACAGCACGAATATTTTTGAAGAAATCATCAAGATTTTATTTTTTTGAACCCCTCTCCCCTCACTGTACCTGACAGTGTTCACCTCCTCAAGAGAGCAAAGTTGTTTACTCGAAGCATGCGCCATTTTGTGACAACTTAAATTTGTATCTAGATAAATTTTTTTCAGCAGATTCGTTTAGAGAATTGAAAATCCTTTCAAACAAGGAATCACATGACCCATAGTGCCATTTAAGATTTTGAGGTTAGGGTAGCTACGGCTGGAGGGGTGATTCGGGGAGACCTGAAAAGTACCTTGTTTTGGTTCCCCCTTCCAACCCTCTACACGGGTTTTTCATTATTTTTTTATCGATTACCGTTTTCACGACATAGGCCATTGACAGTTTTCGGTGGGACACCCGGTATTTTATTAGTTATAGAAACATGCCAGCACGTGCCCCTAAAACAAACCCAAGCCAATGGGTAGTCCTTGTGGACTTTTTATGGGAACACCCTGAGATGGTTACGAGAACATTTGTTGGGCTGGATGCCCGGCAAAAATACAAAAGCTTGTGGGAACAAGTAGCGACCCAATTAAACAGTATGGGATTGGGCTCAAAAACTGCTGACAAATGGATAGAAGTGAGTTTGCCTACTGTGTAATTCTATCCAAGTGTAATTATGTTTTTAGGCTTTCAGCAAATGGAAGAGCAAAGTAAAAGTAAAAGCACAAAATCTAAAGCTCAACATGGAAAGAACAGGTGGAGGTGGGCCTTTGCCACCTTTATTGCCAATTGAGGAAAAACTCATGGGAATAATTGGATGGACTGTAGTAGAAGGAGATGCCACATCTGAATTAGGTTTTGTAAGTATTTTTATGATTATCTATATCTACATCTTTTCCCCTGTATTTTTGCATATTGATCTTATTTAAAAAACTATCTACCTAAGTACCTAGCTATAATAAAATACCTTTAAACTGTTCAAGTTCAAAAACTTATATGAAAATGTTTAAATATTATGTTTAAATATTATATAAAATAATAGGTACTTAATATAATTAATATTATTATTTATTGTAATAAACTTACAAACAAATCATAACTATATAATTTTTAGGGAAACGATGCTGTTCTTGACCAAAACAGTGAATCTCAAGATCCTGCTGTAATCATTGTAGATGATCCTCAACCCGAACCAATTAAAATGCCTCCACTAATTATTATTAAAAAAAGTCAAAAACTATCCATTCCTCGATCCACTCCATTCATTTCGGCTATACCCTCCACATCTACCATGCAAGAAAATTTTGTTCCAAACACCACAATACACACACAGATATTTTTGCCACACCCTCTACTTCTGGTATCAAGCTAATCAAATCTGATCAAGTTGATGTTTCTTCTGGCAAAAAAAAATTTGAAAAGAAAATTGGTTAGGAAAAATCAAGTGCGAGGTGAAAAAGCCAAAAAAGTTAGCAATAGAACCAACAGAAAAGGTGATGAAATGACCTTGTTAAGGATGCACCAAGAAAATACGGTGGTTCTAAAGGAGATAAACACAAATCTTGCTAGAATGGCGGATGGACAAGAGGCATTTCTCAATAGAATGGCGAATGGTCAAGAGGCATTCCTCAACAGAACTAGTTTTTGTCCACTTTGCTCTACAGCAATGCAAAATCTCGAGGAGGATGATGATAACTAGAGGTTTTTAATTACCTAACTACTATGTGATTTTTTTTTTAAATAGATTATCGAGTTGTTTATTTAGTTTATTATTTATATCAGAATTTATGTTATTTTTTTATTAATCTTTTGGTTTGATATTTGGGTATTTTTTGTTCCTTTTGTATAATATAAAATTTGTTTAATCTTAGTTTTTTGATACTTTTGTGACTTTTATTTAAAATAGAATATCGAGCTGTTTATTTATTATTTATTTATATCAGAATTTATGTTATTTTTGTATTAATTTTTGGGTATTTTTTGTTATTTTTGTATCAATATTTGGTATTGATATTTGGGTATTTTTTGTTCCTTTTGTATAATATAAAATTTGTTTAATCTTAGTTTTTTGATAGGTATCTTTGTGACTTTTTCTTTAAAATAGATTATCGAGCTGTTAATTTATTATTTATTTATATCAGAATTTATGTTATTTTTGTATTAATATTTGGGTATTTTTTGTTATTTTTGTATCAATATTTAGTATTGATATTGGGGTACTTTTTGTTCCTTTTGTATAATATAAAACTTGTTTAATCTTGTGATCAATAAAAATTACAAATTTATAAGTTTTGATATTTTCTTTACACTATTAATTTTTAGAATCCTGAGTAGGTATAGTACATTTATAATAATGTCAAAAATATAATTGACTTTATAATTTTTATTAGGATGTTTTTTAACTTTTTTTCAGTATAATCTAGTTATCTGTCAGTAAAAAAAGGGTACAGAAAAAAAAAGTTATATTCATTTTGGAGTAAGGTATATTAATCTCAACTATTTACAGAAAATGCCCTAGCAAACAAACACAAAATTACACAATTGTCAAATATCTATTTACAACTTGTTGCCTTGTTTGTCTGGCTTCATTCAATACTGGGTAGTTGACATTGTGATGATTATTATCTACACCTTCATTGATTAAATTTAAGTCAATGTCAAATTCGACTCCTGCCCTAATTAGTAAATTATGCAATACTGCACAAGCATTAGTAATGACACCAACTTTTTCTGGGCTGTATCTTAACTTTCTCTCTCCTAAAAGGCACCTGAAAATCATTTTGAAGCGTCCATTGCAGCGTTCAATTATACTCCTAGTGATTTTGTGTGCACTGTTATACCGCCCATCTGGTGTATTTGGTTCAGGGTTTTCAAATGGGGTTAATAGCCACGGTTCCAAAGGGTATCCTGAATCTCCAAGCAGCCATTGGGTTTCTTTCACCTAGAAAATTAATTATTTAAGTCCTGTTCAAATTTGTAAGACTTTTTGCTTACCTCTGTCATAGTCCTGATTCATGACGCGTTTCACTTGTGAAGCTCTCCAAATAAATGCATCGTTCACAGATCCAGGGTATCGAGCATTTATATTCAAAATTTGCAAATCAGGGCTGCAAACTATTTGCACATTTTTCGAATGATAGCCCTTCCGATTCACATAATTATGCTCTTCATGCGATGGTGCCAATATTGCAATGTGTGTGCAATCAATGCATCAAACTATCCCTGGAAACCCAGCTTTTTCCATGAATCTTCTTTTCATTTCATTTTTTGAACGTTGGTCCAAAGGAAATTTGACCCACACAGGTCCAATATGTGTTGCTATGCAATTGGCAACATCATGAATGCAACGACCCACTGCTTGCTGGCTCATAGAAAATGAGAATTCTTCGCCTATACCTGAAAACAATAATTAAAAAAGTGAAATATGCAAATATGTATCTATTTGCATTCTTTATACTGTACCAACTAGATGCCTAATCTTATAAATGTCTACTGACATTATTTTGGCTTTCTTTTCTTTTCTTTTAGATTCTATATTTTATTGAAATTATAATAATTGTTTTGCTATGAAAATGTATAAAAAAATCATATTAGGTATATTTCCAACTAAATAATTACTAGTTTTCCTAGGGAAATAGCATCATCTTGAAATAAAAACCAAAAAAGTAGTGAGTCACTCAGTGAATCATTATCCAAAATATTAATTGATTGCACTGATCTGAGAATTTTTCAAGAAATTGTACAGTTTTATCAATCAACAGTTTCATTTGATAGGTAAATTGACCCATAAACAACTCACAGTCTATGCAGATTATATATTCTTAGGAAACTAGCTTCATACTTTGAATGTGAAAAGCTTTTCAATAAATTGAATTGAAATTAATTTGCCATTACAACAAAACTTAAAAACTATTATACATACCTCTCTGATAATTACCAATTGCAAAAAAACGTAAGGCCGTTAAAATCCGTAGTTGGCAAGGAATTCTTGTGGTTCTTTGTTCATGATCCATGTGGGGTACGAGCTGCGTGAATAAATAGGCCACTAGGTCCTTATTTAGATGAAAAAGTTCAATGAATCGTCTATCATGTAAACTGAATGGATCACTATCATCCTTTTATCCAGTCTATTGTCCTGCATTCTTGCAATGTTCTCAATTTCATTTATAAGAAATCTTTGCACTGGCAACATTTCTCACAAAAAACAACCCAAACAACTTAACTATACTAATATTTGTGTTACGATAAATGGATATAGGTAAACAATACAATATAATTTTTGAAAACAGATATAGAAAAATAATTTACAACCATATAAAGCTTAGGGAAACTGAAACTAGGGAAAGATATTAACATCGACATAAACAATAATAAATATTCAAAAAGTGGGGATAATGTAATAAACCTAGTTCTAGTATGTCTTCCGCTTCTTTTTTCATAATTTTGGTGAAATTTGCCGATGTTTTCAGAATGGTTAACACTAGAATCTCTATCCTATTGAAGAACACGAGAATGGCCGAACTATCGCGGAGGCCATAGATATTTGCTTACAGAGTACCGCTAATTATAGCGATAGAGATCGTGTCGCTTGCCTATCTTTATCGCTTTCCTCGAAAATGAAAGATACAGAGTGCCGCTCCAGGGGACTCATTCACAAGTTTGATGTACACCGAATGTTGCTGCCAAGCCACACGTACTCATTAGAGCCTAGGTCAAACGAATTCTTCCCAAATTTTTGCCAGTCGACCGAACTCTAGCGAAGGCAAACAAATGCATTCAGTTTTGTTTGTTGAGACGTCCACATCAACCGAACGAATATGTTTAGCAGCATTTGTTCGCGTTCGTTCGCTGTACGAGTACGTGCCTTTTATGTCACTGCCAGAATAGAACCAAATGCAGAAGTCGGTTTGCAAAGAGCCCGCTTATGGCGTAGGGCAAAAATTCGCTTCCATTGCTGGAGGTCAGAGTGGACTCTGCCACACCACGTTTCGTCTTCAAAAAGCACTACGCATTCAACATGAAAGGCATTGAAAACAACACAGTTGCAGGGGTAAGTAACATCTACACTGATGGTTCCAAAACTGAAACAGGCTCGGGATGCATAGTATACTCCAAAGCCCTCAAACTGAACCTGGCTATAGCCCTTGGCTCCATGCCAAATGTTCTCCAAACGGAAATTACTGGCATAACCATCGCGGCCAAACAGATAGTCAGCAACAATATCACTGAGAAAATCGTGCACATCTACACGGACTGCAGACAAGCACTATTAGCCCTATCGAGACTATGACTCACGTCAGAACTAGTACAACATTAATTTCAACTCCACTTTGAGTCATGGACTACTTTTTCAATTTAGTACAATATTGCCACCATACACTCAGAGAGGCGTCGATGAACAATACGGTGGTACTCAGCTGGATCAAAGGACATGATCACAGCAAAGGCAATCGGGCTGCCGATGCTCTAGCTAGGAGGGCCGCCAGACTACAGCTTTCTGGACCGAAGCCGTTCGTGTGGCTGACCATGTCGGCAGCCAAAGATATGTTTAAAAAAAACGCTCCCATACCCTTCTCAAAAAGCGCTGGAACGATACGATTGGCTGCAACTTATCCAAGGAACTGCTAAGCTATCCAGATAAAGCTACAGCGAGCCAAAAGCTGTCGTTGACCAGGAAAAGGCTACGCCTAATAACGGGCATCTTGACTGGCCATGCACTGTCAGTTAAACGCAGAGCCAGGTTAGGCCAATCGTACCCATCACTAGAATGGATCAGAGGCACCGCCCTCGGTGACGTCATCGCCTACGTTGAACCGCTAGGCTGGATGACGAGCTAAGGAAGACCTCTCCTCTTGTGGGGGCGCACAATGGGCCTTATGTGGCCTAAGTGCTGTGGCATACCACCCTCCCAAACTTACAGATACAGATGTCATTGCCGCAGGTATTTGCTGTTTAGCAATCGCTCGTTTTACAATGGGAATAATCGAGTGTTCCATTTTTAATGCGCGTGACTCTACATAATTATTATTAACATAAGCTAGGATGATCAAAAAGTGTGATTATAGGAAATTTGAATTATTTCTAGCTTTATTTGTTATCAATTGTTATGTTGAAGGTACATTCATTACATTTTGAAAATGTAGGTGATTCCAGTTTTGGACATGAAATTATTAACAGAGCCATTTCATTTTCTTGATGACTGGATCTGATTGAAATTCTTTGAAATGGTTTCGAACCGGAAAGCACAAGCCTGAAGTGCATACCATTTTCTTCCGGAAAAGCTCTACCATCCCCTCCCGCAAGAATTCAATGTAGCGTTTGGCTACAGAAGTAGATTTCCTGTTTCAACCAAAACAGACG